ATGGCCACAAAGATCATACCTGTTTTCTTCTAAGTTTTATACTTTGGCTCTTACATTTAGGTCTTTGATCCATTATCAGTTCACTTCGTAAAATCAATTAACTGCCAAACTATAGTTACATACAGTCATAGGGTATAGTGATATTAGATGTACACAGTATAATTAAGTCAAATTAATTTACCTATCATTTATTTCTAACTGCAGACAGTACTCTTTCATCAATGTCTCCCCCTACCACACTGCCTCTAAGAACCACCCCCATTCTATTTTCTACTCCTATAAGCTTCTTCTTTTGGTCAGGGAAAAGCATTTTACTAGTGTAAAAATGCAGTCAGGCAGTCATCACCAATAATTCTTTCAGTGCCTCCTTTACTCACTCAGTTATTTAAAAAATGAAGGCATCTTATTATGTGTACTTCCCACAGGAGTTACTGTCAATGGTAACCATAGTTCCTTAAACCAATACCAAAATATTTAAGTTTCTGCATAAGCTCTGGAAAGCCAACCATCACTAGAAACTGTATGTAAATTTCTGACATTTATACATTTTCCTGGGGAAAAGCGTCTACTGTTGTTAACAGGTTTTTTTGTTTGTTTTAGACAGGGTCTTGCTTTCTGGTGTAGGCTGGTCTTGAACTCACTATAATCCTCCTGCTTCAGCCTCCCCAGTGTTGGGATTACAGGCGTGTGCCCCTACACCTGACTGTTAATAGGTTTTTAAAGTGGCCTATGATCCAAAAACTATTAGGAGTGGCTACCGTGATTAGTATTCAGTGCAGAAAATGTAAAATAATAATAAAAGAATGAATTGAGCATCAGCGAATACTTAGTTTATACATTTCATACAATGCATATTCAGGTAAAAATTTGTACCACAATGTGTAATAAAGTGCATTTAGATTTTCTAAGGAGTGAAAAAAGGAAATAAATTTAGTAATTGGTCCCTGCAATCTGTTAACAACACAAAGGTTCTACACAGAACAGCACAGGAAATGTCACTAAATACATAATTAAACTCCAAGCGCATGTTCACAGATGATGAGTTCATCAAAAACTTAGGAAAACATAATTTTGTATTAAATTCTGATTTAGAATCTTCGACCTCTGACTGGAAAACTGTAAGGACTATAGTATGTATATATGTACTGAACAAACTATAACTTGGGGATAAGATAAAACAACTGAAACTCTAAAATGCTTGCTAAGCAAAGATGGTGAAATAAGGTTGAACTGTACTTCAAAGCAAAGGAATTGACTATCACAGTCTTGATTGCTTTAGCTGAAGCAAAATAAAGAAACCAGGTCTAAGAATATCTCAAACTGACTTGGTAGATTCGTTACAATTAGATTTCTGGGTTGTTTCCTTTAACTTCTGATAACAAAGTAATAGACAGCAATAAGTAACAGTATGACTAAATAAGTTCTGGATCTCAAGTTTGCCTTAAGGACTGTCCTGCTATCTGTAAAGTAACAGAAGTCCATCAACAGACAGAACTGAGCAACACTGATGCAAATGAATGAGATTCCATCATTCCGCCTCTCTGGAATATGGTGGTGGTATTGGTGATGAGGAGGAGGAGGATGATAACGGTGATGACACTTAGTTTCTAGGGTTAATACAAGCATTTTATGTGGCAATAAACTTAAAAGTGATTAGCCTAGTGCCTGGGACAAAGTAAATTCTCATTGTGTGACAGTTTTTATTAACAGCAGTGGTTTCCCAATATTTGAAAACAAAAAATCCTGAGGTGCCAGAAATTCACTGATTTGTTTATATGATACTACAAATGATCATCAGTCAAATTTAAAAAAAAAAAGGAAAATTATCTAAACAAACATTTGTAACGTAATGTGGCTTTAACTCTATTATAACTTTTTATTTCCTAAAAAAAGACTCCACCACCAAACAACTGAAAGTATTTATTCTTTTCTAGTTTTTACGATTGCAAAAAAGACAAGATTGCTCAAACAAGACAAAACATCAGAGAACAGTAAAAGGAAAAAAAAAATCTCTTTCCCTTAATCTTAAATTTCACTTTCCACTGATTTTAAAGTCCTTCTAAATCCTTTCTTACTGATAAGTACTACAAGAAAATGAAGCCCATCTATCTGGCTGTAATATCATAATCAAAATATTTTCTTAAGAAATGTAATTTCTTATATAGAGTTTCTGTTAAAGATTATTAGCTCTTACCTGTGTGAGAGCCTACACAGATATTCACAGTGAATAAATTGAGAAAACTAAATAATTTAATAGTTGTTCTACATAAAAACTTTAATTGCCATAAGTAAAATTTCATGATTGCAAATAATTTAGTGCCGTCAGTATGTTTAATGTTAGGTTTTTCCTAGAAGAAACACCAAATTTAAAGCCCAATGCCTAAAATTATGGAAGCTGCATTAAAATTCTGTCATTAAGAGATAGGACTTTTGATGAAGTCTGCCCTAACACTTTTCCATTTAAAGCAATAGTCAAAATTATTACTAGAACATAAGTAAATGTTTATGAAATAGAAGTGTATTTCTAGAAATAGTAATACCTTTTATGTTTTGTTTTGTTTTTTTGGTTTTTCTCCGGTACCGGGAACCGAACTCACGACCTTGCGCTTGCCAGGCAGGCGCTTTTGCCGCTGAGCTAAATCCCCAGCCCCAGTAATACCTTTTAAACTTTTAAAAAGTCTCCAGAAAGGTTAGTTTCTCTTACTTTCAGTTTGATGATATTTTAAACCAGCATTCATACTTAGTATTAAAGCTGACCTTCCCTTACTTGAAATTCATGTTTTAAAATAGAAAAAAGGGCAAGGGGTAGGAAAAACTGTTAGTAAAAACTACAGCATTCTCAGGTCCAGGAATTCCTAGACTGCTTCCATTTCAACACATCTGGAGAATTTTGCACATGAAATTAACTTTAGAAAGTTAAGTATTTTTCATGTTTAGAAATGATATTTTTCATGACATTCAGTACTATTATATCTTACACTTTAAGCTTATTCTGAAGACAATGCATTTAAATTTTATTGTAAATATTTTGTAGATTTTTTTTTTTTTCCCCTTAGGAGAGGACAAGGGAGATTAGATTAAGCTAGTATTGGGTAAAATTAGTTCAATTTATAAAACTTTGTTACCCACACTAGAAGTTACTGGCAGGACATATGAGCCAATAAATTTAATAAAAAAATATGTAACAACCAGATTAACTTTTCTTACTAGTCCCCAGGTGATCCCAAATTTATGAATGGGCAATGGTTTAATTCAACCAAAATCTTCAGGGGCTGGGGATTTAGCTCAGCGGCAAAGCGCCTGCCTGGCAAGCGCAAGGTCGTGAGTTGGGTTCCCGGTACCGGAGAAAAACCAACCAAAATCTTCAATAAAAACTAGTTTGGTGCCCTTAGATCCTAAAAATATAACAATAAAATCCCTAGCTTAGGAAGTTTATAGTTAATGAGGCAAATATATCACATAAAAATTTGACTATCCATTTTCATTTTTTGCTTAAACTTAAAAAGTGCTTAATGACTATCACCTCAAAACACTTCAAAACTGAACTGGCAACTATGAGATCATTTTTCAATAGAAAACTCAACCAATTTTAAAGTCCTATCAAATCTATACCAATATTATCAGAAAATTAAGATTTTAAAGACTAACGAAAAGTGGTGCAAAAAAGCTCTAAGCTTAAAGGTTACAAATTATATAGACATAACAAGGAAGATCACTGGTCATACCATACAATGATCTTTTTAACTACATATATATCTATATATTAGATACATAGATTTTTTTTGGAACTGGGAATCAAACTCAGGACTTTGCACTTGCCAGGCAGGTGCTGCGCTGCTGAGCTATATCCCTGGCCCTTTTCAACCATATTTACACATCTAGCAAAAATGATCTCTGATCAAAAGAAAATATATTTTTGTAGAAAGAACTATACATTTTTGTTTTGTTTTGTTTTGTTTTCTGGTACTGGGAATCGAACTCATGACCTTGCACTTGCCAGGCAGGCGCTGTGCCGCTGAGCTAAATCCCCAGCCCTAAAAGAACTATAATGCTATTAAAATAACTTGATCATTCAACTGGTCGAAATTAGCAAGTCAAATTATGGTTCAACATAATAAAAATCGAATTCAAATGGACAGTGGGCTGTATCCCAAAGTAGCAATCTAATGCTGAAAATGTTCAAGAAAACACTGGAAAGCCACCTGTCAGCAATGTGATTAAAGTTTCACTAGATGGAGGATGGGACTCATAACCCCTACAAGGTATTAAGTTTATTAATCTATGAAAATTTTGAGAAATCATGAACAAAGGTCCAAAATCCCAGCAGTGTCACTTTGGATAAACTGAAACCTAGGGAACAGATCTAGTGGTTAACTATAGAAGTTTAGATTTTTAAAAAGTCATGAGGGCCTTCTTTTAATATCTTAAACCTTAAGAACTTTTTAATGATAACATGTAAACTCAAAATCTCTGCTTTACTACTCTTAAAAGTGAAAACATTAACTCTATTTTGAATCTGCTGTGGTTAACAATAGTATTCACAGAACCAATAAACAAAATTGTACTAAATCTGTAAGTCAAAGCCTGCTTTTATCAGTAGTCTATCATATGTGCAAACATTCATTCTTCCATTTTATAAACATTACATTGAATAAATACAAGTATCACGTGTTTCAGAATATTATCAACAGTAGATGACGAGCAAAACAGATACAATTTCTGCTTTTATCCATTTACATACACTTTAGTGAGCTTACAGACTAATTCTATTTTTAAGTATGTCACATAATGTATAAACCCCTCCCTTGCATCATACCTGAAATACTTTTTCCAGGACAAAAAAGCAAAAACAAAAGAAAACCTACCTAGAAACCAAGATTGGGAGGTTCTTTTACCTGCTCTAGGTCACTTTACTCATTTTTGAAATTTCTTGTGTGTGTTGTAACCAAAACAGCATCAAAATTACTTTTAGTTCAAAAATCCTAATTCAACTTTCTTACCTTGATTATTTCTACCAACTGATCCACACCACTGTCCCCTGGAAATATTGGTTGTCCTAGTAACAGCTCAGCCAACACACAGCCCGCAGACCATACATCTAAAGAGAAAATAAAGGCTTATTAATACTTAGCAACTACAGTGAAAAAAGCCTACATTTTCTAATTTTACTTTAATCACATAGTAAATATCAGAAGCAAAAGATTATGTAATCCAAACAGGAAAAGAAAAAAGTAAAATCTTGCCAATAACCAGGCATGGTGGTGATATATACTCCCAGCTGCTTGGGAAGCTGAGGCAAGAAAGATTAGCCTACGCCAGTGATGGCGAACCTTTTAGAGGCGAAGTACCCAAACTGCAATCCAAAACCCACTTAGTATCTCAAAGTGCCAGCACTGCAACTAAGCCTGAATATGGAGGTTTTAGCTTACAAAAAATAACTCATACATTAACATCCTTTGTCTTAAAAGAAAAACAATAACAGAGCTTTCAATAATACAAGCAGCAATAGAGGCTGGGGATTTAGCTCAGTGGCAAAAAGCGCCTGCCTGGCAAGCGCAAGGTCATGAGTTCGGTTCCCGGTACCGGAGAAAAACCAAAACCAAAAAAAAAAAAAAAAAAAATACAAGCAGCTTTTTATTAAAAGGTAAAAGTTTGCATTAGGCATGCTGGGGCGACCTGGCGTGCATGCCAACAGAGAGGGTTCTGTGTGCCTGCTGCAGCATGTTTGCCACAGGTTTGCCACCACTGGCTTAGGCAATTTAGAGACTGTCTGAAAAACAAAACACAGCAAAATTTCCCCAGTGCATTTTTTAGTTAAGTGTTAAACTTATTAAGGAAGAAATAAGGTCAATACAAATATGTCGATAAAGGATAGAGTCTATCGTCACCTACCATACGTCTTCAAATAACAATAATTACAGTTCCAAAGTGACACCACAACTATTGATTCACATTACTTAAAAAAGTCTAAGTGACACACACTCTGCACATTAGTAGGTTTTTAGAGAGAAGTAGTGAGCAAGGGCTCAATCTTCTGTGGACACTGAGTTTTAAGCCAATGCAAATTCTAAGGAAATTTTTAAAACTTTGAATGGTTTACTTTTATGTGCTATAAGATGACTAAAAAAAAATGTGTGTAGATACATTATTATAAATGCAAACTAAAAGCAAATACAAAGGAATATATTTTACTTTGTAATTTCTAAAAATAATTTACATTTACATGTAAATGTCAATGTCAATCCTGAGAGAAAACTTTAAAAATGTAATTAGTGGGCTGGGCATATAGCTCAGTGGCACAGTGCCTGCCTGGCAAGTGCAAGGTCCTGAGTTCAATTCCCAGTAGAAAAAAAAAAAAAAAGTAAGTAATTAACATGTTAATAATTTAAAACTTTAAATAATACATTTTAAAATTAACTTAAAAGCATACATTCAGGCTTATCTATGATAGTCCTGATTAATATCTATTATCTTAGGATAATCATTAATAGCATCCTCTTTCTCTCTCAAAAGTATCTGAAGATACATTATACATGGCCATCTTATGTAAGCCTGTTAAGATTTTCTGCAAGCAAGTCACTTCTCACTTTTAAGATTTCTGAGATTTCTGGGCTTTGTATGCACCAACTCTGAAGTCCTTCAGGGAGGTGAACATAAAACATTGCTAAATTTTCCCACTGACCAAGAGGTAAGCAAAATAATTAGTGAATGATATAGTAGATATAATAATAATTTAGAATCTGAAGGTAAGATGTATTAAGACAGATTTAAAAATCAATAACTACTTTTACTGGCCTAGAAAAATGACACAGAATAATTCATTTAAGCAAACTCTAGATTTTTTTCTGTAAGTAATGATAACAAGACATTTATTCTGCAACACAGACCAAGAAAGTCCTTGATATAATAAGAAAACTGCTAAAGTAAGGCAAATATGAAAACCTACTGGGCTATTTATTTCATTTAAAACCAAAAGCAGTACTACTCTTACAGTCAAGTGGAAAACTGAAAACTATATTCTCTCACTAAATGTTTTAATTCAAGTTTTAAGGTACCTACACCTAACTAATCAGACAGAAGGTACTATGCACCCACTTCTTTCCACTTTAATATAGAACAACTCATCTCAGAAGACAAAGTTGGAAAAATTAAATTAAATTACAATTAGTAGGGAGCAATTAAACTACCTTCTCAGAAAGACAACAATGAATGTTTTCCTTTGTAGTTGCCTTTCAGCTATAAATAAGCAAGACAAGGAGTAAAACATCAAGGAACACCATTTCCTAGCAGCTACAGATGATTAACAGTCCAAAGATTTAGGTTATAACTCTTATCAACTGCCCTTCAATTCAAACTAAATCAGCAAATTATTAAAAACAAGGTATTTCTTATTCCTCTTCTGGGAGATACCAAAATCTATTCTTATTTTGTAAGACAAAATGATGAAACTCCCCAAAAAGAATAAAATTTCACCTAAGAAGGAGGTTTACCAATACAGTAATGCTCTGGCCCAAAGAATTTTAATTATTTGGAGTTTAAGCCAAAATAGAATTCTGTTTTAAGACCATCTAGTTTAAAATACTTACTTCACAGATTACAAAATTACAGCAGGATAAAGTTAAATCACTTGCCAAAGGTAAAGTTACTGAGTAGCAGAGCACTAGGTCTGAAACATATTCTTAATCCCCAATCAGATATCATTATCTTTAGTAACTGTCTCACTTCACAGAAAACAACAACAAAAAACATCAAGGGCCCTAGTTTAATCCCCTGTCCTAAAGATGCCTTTGGTTTTCATTATGCCATTTCTCAGGTAGAAAATATAATCAGAAGCAACTCGGATTATATCCAAATGACAATAATCTAGGATGTGGCTCTTACAAACATTATTAACTAAAAACATTTTAACAATGTACCTGTATTAGTATATTCTCAAATAATCCCCCACCCCTATATTTAGAAATCTTAGTCTTTTTTTTTTTTTTGGTTTTTCTCCGGTACCGGGAACCGAACTCACGACCTTGCGCTTGCCAGGCAGGCGCTTTTGCCGCTGAGCTAAATCCCCAGCCCCAGAAATCTTACAGTCTTAAGTGGCAAGCATTCTTAGTCTAAAGAGAGATCAAATCTACCCTTGACAGGGTTCAGACATCTTAAATTTCTATAAATATTCCTCAGTGTGTCAGATGATATGGTTGTGACTTTTTGATGAATTAAACCGCCTTTCTTTTAAGTGATTCTGATACAATTCAGCCCAATATGTTGTCTGTAGGTAATACCTAATATTTAAATAAAATATAAAGCAGTGATATTCCTAAAGACATGGGCTGAAATTTGCTCTTGGGTAGGTTAAGTTATCAAATATCACAAAAGGATACCACTCATTAACATTTTATTTACTCCTCACAGACACTAAGAAAGGCAGAACTGTTAATAACTTCTATTTTACAGCTCAGCTAAGTAGCAGTAAATATGGAAATCGACCCCAGGCAAAGTACTCTCTGTATCATTTCTCACTTTCCCATTAACGTATACCACATAACATAGGCATGATAAGAATCAATGTCACATACACATGTAATGATACTCCCTCTACTATTGTGCACTAATTATCAAAGTATAGTTTGCAGAGCCCCTAGGTTCTTTGGACATTTTTAGAGGGCCTACAGGTTAAACCTATTTCACAATAATATGCCTTTTTTACTGCGTAAATTGCACTGACTTTATGAAAGAAATGGTGAGTAGAACTGCCAGCCCTTTGGCATGGTATGTGCTTTGGGATACTCTTCTAGGACAAAACAAAAACAGTAATATGTGTCTGTTTAAAGAGTGTTTGTTCATATCAGATAATTTCTATTTTTATCAGAAAAACAAAAACTGGCCCAAGTTTTTTTTTTTTTTTAAAGTTTCTAGTTTCTGGGTTTTTTGATTTGTATGTCTGGTATCTGTACGCCTTTGTCTCTATTTCTGGACTAACAAATTCTCTTGAGAAACAATATATAACTTGCTCTTTGTTTCTTAGCTTTCTTTTCATCTGAGCATGCTAAAATGGTAAAGAAAAGATAGTCAATGAAGACCACAACAACTCCTATCACTAAGCACCTCCAGTGAGCTAGTAAAGATCTACTCTGACTTACAACACAGTATGGCAGGATTTCAACAATACAGTTTCCCTATCATGTTCATTATTAATTTAATGAAATAACATTACTAATGCACAAATTTTCTAACTGGCAATCAAATCAAATTGAGAAGTAGATATTTCAAGAGTATTTTTAAAAAGTTAATAAACATAAGAGACTTTAGAGTCTTACACTTGAAATTATAAAAGTTGAAATTTTAAAAAAAACCAAACCAACAACCAAAAAACTGCATATTTTTTGCAATATTACACGGCAAATCCTTCATTCTGTGGCAGTGAAGTATAGATTACTAACAACGAATTACTAAAACCAAGCTGCAAGTAGTAATGATAAACATTATATTCAAATTTAGTACTTACCTATGCTAGAGGTATAATCAGTGGCTCCAAAGATCAACTCTGGTGCCCTATAGTACCGAGAACAGATATATGAAACATTGGGTTCTCCTCGGACCAGCTGCTTTGCACTGATAAAAATAAAAATAAAAAGCAGAGTCTTTAAATTTAAACCTTAAAGGAAACTTTACTGTTATTACTCATAATACCAAATATTTATCTGAGCTTTGTATCATTCCAATCATGAAACAGACAAAAAAAAAAAAAAGAACCATAACTATCTTTGACCAAAGAAATACAAATATTAGAAACATCACTATGCAAAATAATGATAATTTTTCAAAGAAAGAGTCTGTTGATTATTATTTAAGGAAAAAGAGGTAAGAAGTCACAAAAGGTTAAATGTTGCATTTCTTCTACTTCTCTGTTCCCAGAATCAGAAGGGCAGAAAATTAAGGGGTACCTTGATTCACTAAAAAATATGACAGCAGATTGGAATATAAGAATGAGTACTTCTCATTCGAAATGTTTCTTTACAAGGGAATGAAACTGGCCACTGTTTTACAATTAAACTTTTGACTCAGAGCAATCTCAAAGCTTATACAGTTAATCTATTTTTCTTTTGGTACATTTTGGTCAATTTATCACCCAATAAACTGTTAAAAGACAACCAACTTTAGGGTACAAATGACCGACAATCTATAAATTCTATCTCTGTTGTGGTATATTTATGTGTATTTTGTTCCATTTTTCTTCTAAAATACTTTGTGGCACATATTTTAAACATCAAAGTAAATGACAATGAAGGTCTTTTGAGATGTGTCTTCAGATAACCCAAAAACACTGAAATTAATAAGCAGCTGTAGAAGTCATTTTGGGATGCAATAATATCACATAAATACAGAAAATATACATCTACAACAGAATCAAAACAGGTTAAAAAAAAAGTGCCAACCATTTTTGAAGTACTGGTACAGGAAAACCAGCATAAAGATAAATGGGAGTAGCCAAAGACTCTGAAGTCTAGGCTTTCATTTCTTCCATTTATTTGTAGTCCATGAAGATCTATTTTCCTTTATCATTAGTTTTTAAGTTTACTTTTAACACTATCTGCAAGTATTGACATATAATCACCATTCATAAATTAAAAATACTAATCTCTGTTTTCAGGCTGCCTAAAAATTAAGAAGCTTAGTTTTCAGGATAATTGATAGGGAACTTGGCCATCTTCAAAAAGACACTGTTTAATAACAAAACAAATTCCCATTATATACACAGAAAATTCACCAGAGGTCAACATTATAGTATTAGAAGCTTTGTAGCCCATGCACCTCCCCTATACAAAATTTGATGGAGGTGCCTTCTTTCTCTTATACTGTAGGTTTGTTGTCACTCCCTGTCCAATATAGTAGCCACATACAGCCTTATTCCTTAGCCCATCTAGCCCTTCTCTGGGTTACTTCTTCAGGGCCTCAGCTACTTCTAGGACCTGTTTGATGCGAGCGAAGAATTACCAGGAGAGTAATTCCTCTTTATTTTTTTTTATTATTTGGAATTTTTCTTATCCATGAGAAAAGATAAATGAGGGCTAGATAATCCCACAAAATAATTATGTTCTACTAGTCTTCATAAGGATCTTTATCTTTGTTCTGACTTGCATCTAGTTTGTCCCCCATGGGTTCCTATGTTGGAGGCTTGGTCCTGAGTGTGGTGATGTTAATGGGGGAGGTGTGTTATTTGTTTTGGGGCATTGGTACATGCACTGACCTATCCTGATCATTTTTTATTCCTCTGTCCCCTTCTCCCTTACTGCCTCCCACCTCTCCATTATCTCTACCTCCTCCCTGCCTGCTCCTCCTTCTCAACTCCAGAAAGTTTGTCCTGTTTTTAACTATCTGTCCTTATTTTATTAATTCCTTATTGTATTTTAGGTTTCTTATACAAGAGCAACCACATAATATGTAACTTCCTGTGTCTGACTTATTTCACTTAGCATCAGTCTTTCAAATTCCATTTATTTTCCTGCGAATGACATGATTTCAGTCTTCTTATGGCTGAAAACATTCCATTATGTGTATATACCACATTTTCTTTATACACTCCTCTGAGGACTGATACCTATCCTGTTTCCTGAGCTTAGCTTTTGTCAATTGTGCTGCTATAAACATAGGCATGCACGTGTCACGGTAATGTGATGTTTTAAAATTCTTTTTATACCCAGTAGGAGGTATAGGTGGATCAAATGAATCTTCTATTCTTAGTGTTTTTTTTAGGAATCTGCACACTGATTTTCCTAGTGTTTGTACTAGTTCACATTCCCACCAATGTAGAAAGATTCCTTTCTCCTCACGTTCTGGCCCAAGTATCTGTATTCTTGATGACAGCCCTTCTGACTGGGGTAAGAAGAAATCTTGCAGATGTTCTAATTTGCATTTCCCTATGGCTAAAGATGAACACTTTTTTCATGTACGTACTGGTCATTTGAACTTCTTTCGAGAAGTGTATTCATTTCGGTTGCCTGACTTTTGATCTGGTCTTTTATTTGGGGGACAATAGGGGGTCTAATTTTTTTTGAGTTCTTTATATATTCTAGATAATTGTCCCATCCTGTAGGCTGTCTTTTCACTCTGTTGGTTGTTTTCTTTGATGTGCAGAAGCTTTTCAATTTGATATAATTCTGTTTGTTCATTTCTGATATTTCCTGTGCTATTTGGGAGTTTAGTTTAGGAAGTTCCTTACTGTGCCTATGGCTTCAAGTAGTTTCCTTTTGTTATTTTCCAGTAGTTTCAAAGTTTCTCTTTTTATATACAGATCTCTGATCTATTTTAATCTGATAGTAGTACAAGGTGAGAGACATAGTTTAAATCTGCAAGTGGATAAACAGCACCATTTGTTAAAGAGGCTATCTTTTCTCCAATGTGCATTTTTGGCCCCTCTGTCAAAAATCAGATGACTGAAGGTGAATGAGGTTTTTTTCCTCTGTCTTCCATCACACTGTTTTACAAGTCTTTTTTTCTGGCAGCACCATGCTGCTTTTGTTACTATAGCTTTGTAGTCTAACTTGAAATCTGGCATTGTGATCTCTCCTACTTTGCTCTTTCTGTTTAGGATTGCTAGGTTATTCTGAATTTCTTCTGGTTTCATATGAATTTTAGAATTTTTTTTTGTTTTGTGAAAAATGTTGTTGGTATTTTAATAGACTGCAATAAATTTACAGATCTTGGGCCGGAGATACAGCTCAGCGGCACAAGCACCTGCCTGGCAAGTGCAAGGTCCTGAGTTTGATTCCTGGTACCAAATAAGTAAATAAATTTATAGATCTCTTTGAGTAACATGGCTTTTTAAATGGTACTGATTATACTGATCCAAGAACATGGGTTGCCTTTTCCATTTTATGACATCCTCTTCAATTTTTTCTTTAGTTTTTTAGTTTTCATTATATAGGTCTTTCACCTTGTTGATTAGGTTAATTTTAATTTTTTAAAAAGTTGTTCCTGGAACTGTTTTCCTGATTTCTTTCTCGGTGGGTCATTATTGGTATACAGGAATCTACTGATTTTTGTGTACTAATTTTGTATCCTAAGTAATACTGTTTTGTTTAAGCCCCTGCTACAGTAGTAACTAAGAGTCTACTGTGTCATCCAAAGCCTACTTGCTGTTATGGCTTGCATCCAGATGTCCCGACAAAGCTGCAGTAACTAAGACATCTGCCCCAACCAATTATGTTAAAGAGACATCTTTTCTATCAGAGAATTTATAAAAATGAGCTTTTATCACATAAGTGAAATCAGTATTTCAAATTTATTAGAACAAAGTAACTTTATGTCCCAAGTAAATGGTCTGGGCTCAAACAGTTTTGAAATTATTGTGTGTACAGTAACTCTAATAAACTTACTGTTTCAGTTTTTTTATGCTCCTTAGCAAATGATCATTCTCAGCAGGAAAGACATTTCATGATGATAAAATATATTTGATTTGTGTAATTTTTCCTATAGATGTAAGTGGTAGTGGTTTATTTCAAGCATCAAATGAAATTTTTGATTTACATTTTTTATTGATTCTTACAGTTCAGAGGACAAAAAACATAGCAATGCAAGTTGCATACTGGAATTAGTAAGACAGAGATGCTATGAAGGAGGATACACTTGTGAGGTTAAGAATTAATTTATGATAGAGCAGATTGGTTTGCTTTTTAAAGAATCTCTCTACAGTCTATGGAAAATATATTCTGTATTAAACCCCGAATCTAAACTGTGGCTTATTAAATATATTACAAAGAGGTAGGAATATAGATGCCAGGTCAATACGTAATTTATAAAGTGAAACTAAAAAATAAGAACTGTTACAAGTATAAAAAATTAAACTGGAACCAACCCAAGTTATGTAGATGTCCGAGGCAGAAGAGACACTGTGTTTCCCCAAAATAAAACTTAATCAGAAAATAAGTACTGGTTGTAACCATGCTAATGGCCAATGTTAAACAGATTGCACCTCACTATTCTCTAGCTTTGTGGCTATTATGTAAAGGCAGGTAAGGGAAGGCAATTGGGGCTGGCATTTTTTTTATCTCTAGTTTTCAAGGCTGATACATGGCATTATTCTAGGTGATTATACCAGACACGAAGTAGCAGGGCAACTGCTTGTCCTACTTGGGAATACAGTATTGACAACATTTTCATAAGTGAGATGATAGAGGCACAAAATGTTGAAAACCATGGAAATGAGTAGAATGAGGCTTTATTACAAAGTTAAGGTACATTATCTAGAAATCAGTATAAGAAATCAACCAATTTTTTGAACTTTACAGAAAAGAAGTTGAGTATAAAAGGCTACATAATGGTAACAGAAGAAAAGAAAAAAGCAGAAACTGCAACTAGACTTTTCACCACATTCCTGACCTGAGGTCAATTTTAAAAGTAAAAGGATAATATTATGCAATAAATTTTTTTTAAAATTAGTTCTTACTAAAAAAGGAATATATATACCTAATACAAATTCAAATGATACTAACATAAAACTGATGAAAAATCAAGTTTCCCAAACAACATTTCCAAAATTTCCCATTCCAGGAGCAAGTATTGTCATGGGATTATTATATAATATTTCAGAAATAAGCCATATTATACATGCATATATTTGAATTCAGACAGTCACACTGTATTTTCAAAATAAAAGACAGCTTAATTTACAGTCTTGACCATGCTTTTTTTCATTTACTGTTTCCTAGAGACCATTCCCTTGTAGTTCACAATATCATTCTTTTTCATGGTGGTATACAGAACATTACATTTGTATATACCGTAATTTATTTGGACACTTTCTTATGAATGGACATTCATAAACAATGCTATGAAAATATCTCTATAAATACACTATTTGGTAAATAATTCATATAAGTTAAAACTCTTGGATGAAAGCATAACATATTAATATTCTGACAAATTATCAAAACTGTCCTCTCAAGGAACTGTGTCAGTTTATACCACCTGAGTAAGGACTAGACTGACATTCAAAAAGGAAAAGATTTAAAAAGAAGATATGGCAGAGTGGGAGTTGGAAGGAAAAAGGGAAGGTGGAGGGGCGGGGTGGGGTGGGAAGGGAAGGGAACGGAAGGGGACAAAAAGAGAGTTAATTTACCTTCCAAAGTCACATAGTTTTAATACAGCTGTATCAGGATCCAACAAGAGGTTCTGCGGTTTAATATCCCGATGGCAGATTCCAAAGGAATGGATATAGGCTAAACTTCTGAACAGTTGATACATATACAACTGGAATAAATAATAAACATTAACTGAATATTTCCTATTTCAAACAAATCAAAGTCACTAAGCACATAATAAAGTAACATTCGCAGAAAGAACAAGTGAAATGCTGGTGATTATTATACTCAACCTTCCTTAAACAAATTCCTGGTCATTTTGTATGAGTTAGCTAATTAGGCTATCATTAACCATATGTTTACACTACTTTTAATACCTTAAAAGAATGAAACTTTATACTATGCTTAATAACCTGTCATTTACTAACATCTCAACTTGGGGCTGGGGATTTAGCTCAGCGGCAAAAGCGCCTGCCTGGCAAGCGCAAGGTCGTGAGTTTGGTTCCCGGTACAGGAGAAAAACCAAAAAAAAATCTCAACTCAAGCTAGACAACGTGGGCTTTTTATTTAAAACACAGATAAAAAGCTCAGAGAGCCATCCCAAATCTTGACAAATTAAGTAACAACACTGGGATCAGAAGCCAGTCTTCCTATTTTTAAGCTCATTGTTTTTTCTACTATATCAAATTGCTTAATGTAAAAAGAATTTCCAGTTACCTTCAGAATTATTTCGTCCCTGAGATATCGGCTTTTAGGGTTACTGATACAGGGGTCTAAGAAAACTGACGGGTGGACTGAGAAAATCTAATCACCTATCAAGATACCAGTAACCCTGTTAGGAGCATCACCCCCTTTTCTGTTACTATCCTTCAGAAATAGGTGGACTTTAAATGCCATTTTAAAAGATGCCTAAGCTAGGTGCAGTGATGCTTGTCTGTAATCAGATACTTGGGAGGCTGAGGCATGAGGTCTGCAAGTTTGAGGCTAGGCTGGGCAACTAAGCAAGAACCTGTCTCAAAACAGAAAAGGAAAGGAAAGGAAAGTTAAAGGGTTTTTGTTTGCTGTTTGTTTTGTTTTCTTTTAAAGAAAAGGGACTGGGGATATAGCTCAGCACTTGTCTAGCATGTATGAAACCCTTTGGCTCAATTTCCACACCATTACAAACAAAGAAGCAAAGAGACAAACACAAAATCAGACAACCAAACAAAACCAACAAATGCATGCCTACTGACATGACCTCAGAAAATTTTTTTTCTATTTTATTACTAGAAAAGATACACCAAGTATATCTAGACCTTTACTTTATTCCATGCCAAGTTTTGATTCAGTTTTGAATTTTTTTGACTATTCACCTTCTGACCTCTACCCCAAGATCAATACCACAAAAGTAATTTTTGAAATAACTGAAAACAAAGATACTAGTATTTTGGTAAAAATATAACAATAAAAAGAGTTAAAGATCAAATGCAACACTGATATACAGCACCATCTCTAGGGGCTATTGTTAAAAGTTGGGTTAACTGAAGTCAACATGAAATCTACCTGCCTTTTAGATGCAAGATGAAAAACTGCAAGTGTCCAGATTTCAGTGTATCTTTAATGAAGTATGGCATAAAACATGTATGTAAGATCTTCACTTATATCAGCCTTCTGCCATTAAATTAGAATTAAAGCCTTCCTGTATCTTTTTTTAAAGCTTTGCAATTCTGTTACTGTACCACAGCTTATAGACTCAATCCCCAAGTCCTAAAGCATGAGTGTCCAACCTTTAGATCTGTCTGGGCCATGTGGAAGGAAGAGCTGTCATGCTCAGTAACGACTAATGCTTATCTTCACAAGCTCAAACATTACAGACAATGTGAAATATTATTACTGGTAAATGCTGCACTTTACTTGCCAAATGTGTGTGTCTTACACACACATTTACATCTGATACAGGTTTTGACCCATGTGTGATGGGTGCAGAAGGTGGAGGTAGCACTCACTGTATTCTCCCCTACATAGAGTTCCATCGTTATTCATGCAGCCTTGCTGACTTACTGCACAATTGAGTCACAAAAAAGAACTCTAAAAACCACAAAACGTTATAAGTTTATGATCTTGTGGGGCTGCATTACTACCTGTCTCAGGGTATGGGTTGGACATACCTGTCCTAAAACTTACAAGTTTATTCATTTTCAGTAAGAAATAAGCTCCTGGGACTGAGTTCTTAGGTATTTATTTACTAACGGAGATTTTACTGACTCTGTGTAGGGTATTAATGCCTATGTTAGCAAAAATTAGTGAAAGCAAAAGTTATCTTTTAAAACTGTTGGGGGCTGAGGATACAGCTCAGTGGCATAAGCACCTGCCTGGCAAATACAAGGTCCTGAGTTTGGTTCCTGGTACCAAAAAAAAAAAAAAAAGTTCAAGACTTTAAATGAGGTTAGTTTTAACATCTTTTAAAAAACTATTGTTTCATGTGAAAGACTACTCTATCCACGTTCCCATTTTATTTTTTGAAAAGTCAAGATTTAGAATGAAATATGCAATTTTATATCTTTTTGTGTTGTTCCATTTTGAAAGTATATTTCTAAGAAAGTTGAAAGGTTTTTCTACTCTATAGAAAGATATCAAGAACAATAATAAAAATAACTTGCTGTGTATCCCACACCATGTGCTTCACATACATTATTTCACTTATTCTTTATGGTGACTTCATACAGTAAGTGTTACTTTTATTACTGTTTTAAATATAAAATAACCAAGTCAGGAACAGATTAGGCAACTAGGCCAATATCACATCTGTAATACCCTGCAGTGGCATAGGTAAGGACTCCTCTTAATTACAATTTAATTATTCTGCCTTATTTTTATTCTAGTAAATGATGGTGCAAAAACAGTATCCTTAAGTAGCTGGACAACTGAAGAATTAAAATGGTATTATCAGCAGCTCAACTGTAGGCAAGCGGTGTACTCAGTGGTAGTACACTTGTCGAGCACACACAAAGCCCTGCATCCAATACCCGTTACTAAAACACAACAACAAAAACTCAACTCAAATATTATGAACACATTTTAATATAAAAGATTTAACATGCATTAACTACAATGCATCTCTATCCATCTGTTTAATTCTTGCCATCATTCCGTGAGATAGAAGTGAGGAAAGTAATGAGTAATGAGCGCAGTCCAAAAAGTTACAAAGCTATCTAATTAACTCAAGTCCAATGTCCTCTCTCAGCCACAGCAGCTGTTAAAAACAGAATAACAATTTTATTATCTAAAAAAATGAATCTAGTTCTTCACGTATTGAGATTTTGTACCTAAGAACTTCTTAATCTAAAAAAAAGTCTAAGCCAGGAACAGTGGCACATGCCGGTAGTCCTACCTATGGGAGAGGCGGAAAAGAGCCCAGGAAGTCAAAGCCAGCCCAGGCAACACTGTAACACGCTAGTTCTTAGAAACATAAAAATTGTAAGTCTGTAACAATACCATAATTTGTTAGTCATCTGTTTTAGGGCTGCATTTTAAAACCCACTTAATTCTGAAGGACACTCATCAAAAAAGTAAGTGTTCAAAATATTTTTAATTTCTATTTTATTGTCAAATATAAAAGGGGTGAAGAAAGAGGTTCCAAATGTGGCCACAGAACATACTCAATTCCCCGCAGAAAGTGTAAGGCAAATGATCACAAAGGAATGCAGTTGTCATTTGTCAAGTAAGTGCTTACTAGACAAGATGGTGAGGTCTACAAAGGCAACAGTCCTATATATTTATTACTTTTATCTCCACCTCCCAGCCTAAAGTTTTACTGTAATAGGATTGCAATAAAATTATGTAGAATGAATAAGGAGATCAAATCATAAACCCATCAATTATAGACACCGTTTTTACCTCTCCAGACTCTTAAGGATAAAGTAGATTTGTGTCCTTAAAGAATAATTCAGATGGCCAATAGCAGCGACTGTGGTTTTATAAAACAATCATTCTTTTTCCCATAAGGGGGAGAAACACATGCTAGCTCTCTGTGTGTGTACCAATTTCAGTATGTACAATAGTAAAAAAAGAAACCACAGAGACAGACAGATACAGGATGTCAGAGATTTAGCTCAACTAACTATATGCTGGTAAAAATACAGAACACATGTGCACAAGGCTGTTCACTACAGCACTATTTGCAATGGAGGTGCAGGGGAGTGGGATCTGAAAGAAAAAAAAACATGCATTAATAGGTCACTGCTGAATAAATTAGGGTATAATAATATGATGGGAGTAATATGCAACTATGAAAAAGGAATAAGGCATATATAAATTATATATACATATATAAACCTCCAGAATGTATTTTTAATTAAAAGTAGAAAAAGAGTGTAGGGTGAATAAAGTTACACATTTGCTATTTTAAAAATGGTAGGATGAACTTTAAAAATTTAAATTTTATATATTTAATTGGGAGAAAGGAACAGAGATGAATACAAATGAAAGTTAAGCTTCTTTCAAGAGATTTTATTTTCTAGATGTTACTTTCAATGTATGTAAAAAATTAATTTACAAGTAAAACTTAAAATTTAAAAATATTTAAAAATAATCAGTAATACAGGTAAAATGAAACAAAACTTAACAGGGTATAATCACACAAAAGGGAATTATTTGCTGTTGCTTTAAAACAGAAAAACTTGACTATTCATCCCAAATAGAATTTAAGGGAAGATAAAGAGCTGGAAAAAAAATCTTCAATTACTAGCTGGAGGAAGTGGTGCTGGTATTATTACTCCAATCTATAGCAAGTGTTGTGTAGAATGAGTTAGTAATTATAGTGCAGTCATTGAAAAATGGAATTTTCAGGGTAAATGAAAGGCAAATATAGATGTAAGATTATCATGATTAAGTAAAATACCTTTAATTTTAATTGAAAGTATCAATATGAATTTATGGAGTAACTCTGGGGGTAAAGTAAATACATTATACTCTTGAAAACACTACCCACGTATTTCCTAGCTCTGCTCACTAACAAGACTCAGAACAGTATCTTGTAGCAACTAGTACTTCCAGCATTCAGACTCAGTCTTTTGATACCATTTCCCACTGAAAGAAGAAGGTCTCCTTAAAGAAAAGACCGATTCCAAGTCAGAAGAAGAAATGTATTAGATGAACCTGTAACATTCAAGCAATATTAAGACTCATGTAATATGCTTTAAATAAACAAACAAGAAAACTCCTGATTGGTTACTTGTAAAAATGCTATGGAACTAATTATATATTTTGGTAAATGAAAAGAAGGGATCAAATATCTGGTCTTTTATATAAATTTTATCTTAGAGTACAAGTAAGTAATATAGGCAAGTTTCTCTTTGTGGAAGCAATCTACCTTCTAAGTTGGAAAGAAGTAACACTGAAGTATCAACACTTTATAACCCTTAATGAATTAAGGAACGTAAGTGATGGTCATCAGCGGCCATTAATGTCACAAAAAGAAAAGGCATTATGTTCTTCCTTGGGAAAGCACCCAACACTACTTATGAAGTAATTTTGACTCTGATCAAAAATGTACTTAATCACCAACTATCTAATTACCAATTTATAGGATTATAGGGGAACCAGAGGAACATGTTAGAGCCACTACGGAAATCTAAAACAGTGAAATCCAAACCAGGAAATGACAAGTCAAATAACCTACTTTCTTTAACAACATGTATAGGGGAGGAAAGAATCTACAGATTAAAAAAGAAACATTAAAAGCACACCAATCATACATAATATACAAACCTTAACTGGATGCAAAGTCAAACAAAGAAGTTTAAAAAGAAACTGTAAGATATATAGAATATAAACAGGTATTTAATGATGCTAACAAAATACTATTTATCTGTATAACAGCATTATAATTATATATACATATTATAATTATATATACATACATATGCCCTATCTTCTATGTATACATATTATAACACATAAGAAAACGGTATTTGTAATTTGCTTCAAAACAAAAAAGGAAATAGAGAATAGCACAGAGGAGACAAAAGTGGCTGGAAATTGATCTCTGAAGCTGTATGATGGGTACATGAGAGTTTATTATTGTATTTGTTGTGCTTTTATAAATGTTTGAAATCAACAATAAAACCAAATGTTTCAAGTGACTAAAGATCCTTTAAAAAACAAATAGTTGAATAGAAAATTATCTGACATATGTTAAGAAGTACTGGAAAATAGAGATAAAAGACTAATCTACAAAGAGCTAACTAAATTTGATAGAAATCACTATACCCTTCTCTTTTCGAAGGAGATTTTGCCAATCAAGAAAGACATTTCTAACTTCTGAACTACTTTTATAACAAGTATTTTACCTGCTTGTTTCATAGTTATTTGTATAATTTTTTCTGCATGTAAGAGGAAAAATAGAACATTTTATTAGGCATCAGATTATTGTGTAATCATTTAGGATTTATTTCCCCAATTAAAGAGGGGGAACAAACTAGTAATACTATATATATATATATTCCCCCCCCAATGTCCTCAACATGCCATGTTTTGATGACGTAAGACCTTCTATTACTTCTACTTTTAAGCCCTCAAATGTTCTCACATGTTAAGTCATTTTATGCTATACTGTAGATAGAAAATTGGAACCTAAGAAGAGACGGGATTATGACTTTTCTAAAAGAACATAAGTAAGGAGAAATGTTGGGCCTCAAAACTAGGTCTTCAGGAACCAAATTTAGGGCTTTTCATAAACATGTCACTGCTCTACACTGGCAATAATAAAAGCTACAGTATAGGCAGATCCGAACTGTCATCCTTCTAAACAAAGAACTCAAGGATTTCTCTAGGTTTAGGGAGTTCAAAGGGATATAATACTATGCCAGTTATCTAGAATAGGATTTGCTATTCTAAAACCAGAATAAAGTATGCACTTACAGTAAAAAACAAAAACTATCTCTTCTAGTCTTACTGCTGTTAATTTAACTACAATCTCAACCAAATTTTGATAACCCCAAATACCATGATGCGAGAATCAGTTTTTAATCCCTACCACTTAATTCAGTAAGAGTCCTGATCTACCTACCAAAATAATCTAGTTACCGAAAGTTCTAAAAGAACTTTTATTAAATGTTTCTGCTTTGGTATTAATTTTATTACTATGAAGTTTAAAATTATAACAATTGAGAAAAATTTCAAAACGAAACAAGACACTGAGAATGATGCCACTTTATTTTCTAATTTCTACAAAGAGTAAAATTTAAATATTTAGATATCTCAACTTTCAAACTTAACTCCTAATTTTCACAGTGCCATAGTTAATAATGTTTCTAAATGTCTACCACTTTAATGACAATTATGCTACTCCTACCTGCTCCACCATAAGTTCTATCAAATAAACAAGATGGCACTAATATTATACACTATAAATTAAATAATACCTCTATATGCTTAAAGCTGCCAAAGTTTAAACTTCTGCTATAGATGCAATGAATATATCTACAAATGTCAATGAAACTTTACATACTGGCATGTTTGCAACTCTGTAATTTCATGTGAATTTATATGATATGTTCACTTTTGGATTGTGACAAAATAAAGATACTAGAAATGAAACATAAAGGTGTATGGTTAGCAGAATTAAAATCCATAACTGTCTGTGATTAAGTTCACCTCAATTTATCTGAGTATCTTTAATATGACTAATGACTCTGAAAAATTTCTATTTATTTGCAGTTATTTCCCTGAGTATTAAATGCAAATAATATGGTTAAAATATAACCAATATTCTCTCTGGTTCATGATAAGTATTTCTGAAATGGGAAATGGTTCCATTTTTTACATACCTTGACATAGATCACAGGGAGCGTCTGTTTGGCTCGACTATAGTGTCTGGCAACTCTGTACACTGTTTCTGGAACGTAGTCCAGCACCAGATTAAGGTAGACCTCATCTTTCTGAAAGAATTTATTCAAAAAACAGAAACAGATTAGAAACTAGTCTTTAAATAGTCAAGTTAGAGTAAATTTTCTATGCAGCCACATATTCAGATTTTTAAGAAAAATATTTCATTTTAATTACACAAAAATTACTTTGGAAGATAACAGTAACAGTAAAAACAAGTACATAATACCTTATTAATAGCAATCCTATGTTAAAAACACAGCCATTTCAATACCTCTAAGATTACCAATCATATTTAAACTACTATTTTGGTTACTATGGCTTTAGAGTATGTATCTCCTATCATATAACTGCACACTTTCTAGGCTGAGAATCAATATCCTCACGTCCTTTCAGGAAAGGCAGCACAGCAGTAAGGACAGCATTGGGGTGGGAACTGAGCAAAGGATTTCTAGCCTCATCTCCGTGCTCAGTTGGTGTATGCAAGTCATTCTCTTTAGGCTTTGGTTTCTTCAACTATAATATGAAGAGTTGGACTAGAAATTCTTCAAAATATCACTAACCTCCACAAAAAAGATTTTATTGTTACCAATCACCTATAATTAGTAGAACAACCACAGGTATTCTATTATTAACTGAAACAAAAAGAGTACTTGTAAGGCAGTGCAATATACTCACAAGCTTGTTAAAAGGTCATATATTTAAATATCCATTATGAGCAAGCCCAACACCAACCCAAATCAGGAGAGAAAAAGAAAGGAACTCTAACCAAGCAGGAAAGAATAGAGTACTCCCTTTTACCCTGTTCACACAAATCAGTAACTATGAGGTAGGCTGAAGAAGAAAACAAAGTTGAGAATCACAACTGGCTCCTGAGTGGGAAAAGCTGTAGTGAAACAAATTTTCATGCTCTCATAATTTAAAATTGTATTATCTAGCAAACTGAAGTGAAGAGTTCCCATTTTTCGTAATTTACTGAGCATTTCAGATAGCTCCACTCCACAGAAAGTAAGTTGCAGATATGAGAGACATCTGAATTGAGTATTGAAGAATCTAGCTTTTATTTATTTACACAGGGTGCAGTTCAGGCTGGCCTTGAACTCACTACATAGCCTAGGCTAGCCTTGAACTTGTGGCAATCCTCCTGTCTCAGCCTCTTGAGTGATGAGATTACAGGTATGAGCCACCACCCCGGGCAAAAGCAGCATTTTAGGCAGAGAATGTCAGGTATTTTATCCCAGATACTAGAAGTAACTAAGACACAATGGCAGCTTCTGTGCTGCAATGGCAGGAGTTGTGACCGTGACCTACAAAACCAAAATTACTCTTTAATAAGCTTGTGTTTTTTGTACAACTCTGGTGAAAATCAGCTTTTTGCACAGTCCAGGTCTGAAAACAAAGAGGTAGAGATGTCTATAAAGAAACCTACAATTGTGCTGATTGGCCTGCTTTAAGTCATCAAGAAATTCGATTGCCTCACCACTAAACGACACATCTGCCTTATTCACTTTCCAGACTAGCACCTCATTTCTTCTGTTCTCCTCTAATACCCCTTTCTTTGCCCATACCCTCAGCCTAAGAACCTTGCTTACATCATAAAATGAACTTATCTCCACCTCAGGCATCCATTTCCATAAACTCTTCCTTCACTTCTGTAATTAGAGATAAGTTGACTAGTCTTTTCTTAAGCAAACATTACATTAAGCTACTTACACAAAAAAATAAAAACAATCTTATTCTGCTTTTTCAGTTATTTCTGGCTCAAGAATGGCCAGATGGGAAGTAAGGAAGAAATATGAAGCAATTAATTTGTTATTACAAAATCTCTGGGCATAAAAGTTAAAGAGAGAACTGGGAGTTGGTAATTCAAGGAGAAGTAAAGACAGAAAAAAAATTCCCAACGTGACATCACAAGCAGAAAATTCTACACCTAACTTCATGTGACAAGTAACACAGTCAAAAGACGGGCAAATTAGAGTGGTGGTATTTGCAGTCCAAGGTATTTGGGGGTTGGAAGCAAAAGGCTCAGGAGTTTGAGGTCAATCTGGGCAACACAGTGAGTCTCTGACTCAAAAACAGATAAACCAAAACCAAAACTAAAATAAAACACAGGTGCACTGATAATTTGTATAAAATTACCCTCAGGTTATATCTATAAATTTTATTTAAAAATTAAATAAATTTTATGTTTAGAATTGAGTATCTTCCCCAAGATAGCTCATGATACACATGCAAATATTCCAAAATCTAAAACACTTGTGGTCCAAAGCATTTCCTATAAGGGATATTTGACCTGTTTAAGTAGAATTCAAGGAATGTGCGAACATAGATGTCAAAGCTATTTTTTTGTAAAGTGCTAATTGCAAGGTATCTTTAATAAACCATTTGACAAGGTTAATCATGATATATTTATGAACAACCTGGAGATATATATAGCACATGACTACAATTTATTTCATAAAGTTTATTTCACCTCCTAGGAATAATAAGTATAACAGTGTAGGCAAACCATGTAATGCAGTAAGGGGCAAGGGCTGGTAAGGTAAGGGAGAAAGGAAGGAAGGATAAAAGGAAAGAAAAGAAGGAAGGGGAGAGAAGGACGGAAAGAAGGAAGGAAGGGAGGGAGGGAGGGAGGAAGGACCAGATTATACTAATCAAATAAAACAAACACCACGGAACAGATCTGAGAGTTTACGACCTTTGACTTCAACACAACGGCCTAAGACTGACACAAATGTAGGGAGAATGCCTTAAAATGGAAGATTGAATAAGAATTTTATAAAGCCCTACACTGAGGGGCTGGGGATTTAGCTCAGTGGCACAGCGCCTGCCTGGCAAGCGCAAGGTCGTGGGTTTAATTCCTGGTATGGGGGGAGGGAGCCTTACACTGAAATCAAAGTATCTGTTTATTATACAGAGAGTCCAGACACAATTCAAGATCAAAATTGGCAATAATGCATTTGGAAATAAAATGATAGCTATAACTAGACAAAACTGAAGTCAACTTGAGATACTGCTAATAAAAAACAATGCAAATTTCTCATGCAGCAGAATGTGTACAGATCAGTAAAGATAATTCTATTCTAATTTGAACAGATCAGTCCTCATCTGACGTATTCATGATATCCCTGTTCAGGCAGCATATTTTATTCATAATACTAGCAAGGAAGAATACAGCAAAGGAAAGTTAACAAAATGACATCTGCTTTAAGGTCAATGCTCTAATTTACTATAACAGAAGAAATATGGGGGTTCAAATACATGTTATCATGAAATTAACAAATGTTTTAATGTAAATTAAATAGTCACAGGAATAATCTCTAAGAGGAAAGTGCTCAACCTCAGGAAATAGCATATACAAGAAAACTAAATTTTAACAATTTCAAAATATGTTTCATTTGGAGGGTCTTAAAATAATAATTCAGGAGGCTAGAGGTACAAATATTTCAAGAAGAAAGAAGGGCCAAGATTCAGTATTTCAGCAGTTATAATTTTTTGAAACATTTGAGATCTGCTTTCTTCTTAATGCACTCTGTCTCATACTACCCAACTGAATTTTGCAAAATTCACAGATCAGTTGTAAATTTTAAAAATCAAAGGCAACACATAAAGAGTATGATTTCAGATGCCCAAAACACTTAGTTCCCTATCATAACGAGAAAGTACTAACCTCAAAGAGCTGTTACTGGACTTCCAAAACAAGCTAACAAGTCACTACAAGTTCTTTCAAAAGAACCTTCTATTATACAAAGTAGATCTTATTTAGAAACTCTCCAAAAAGTTACATGATGGGTCATTTAGGCAGCATGTTTTATAATGGCTCCTTTTTCTTAGTTACCACTATTATCACTATTCTTTTTTTTGTTTTTGGTTTTTTTTTTCCGGTACCGGGAATCAAACTCACAACCTTGCGCTTGCCAGGCAAGCGCTGTGCCACTGAGCTAAATCCCCAGCCCCAATTATCACTATTCTTTAATCAGTGATCATCGTTCCTTTACGAACTCCACATTGAAAGCATACACAAAAAAACTTAACTGACAAACTTTTGATCTCACCTAACAACTCAACAACAATAGCAAGGGTAACTCATCCCATCTCTGGAAAAACAGAAACTATGAGGATGCTCTTATGCCCACTTGACTTTTGAGGTCAAGGAAACACAATGGCTTAGGCTCCAGTTTTAGAGAATCAGGATATATCTGTCATTCTAAAAACCTCAAAGGATGCAAAGCAATGTATCGAATCATAATGAAACATTTAATATAGCACCAGGGAGGCGAGATCCTCCTTTGAATTGGGTCAAGAAATTTTGGCTGGGAAAGAACTTCAAAACAGTTTTCTTTCCTTTGATGGGTGTAACTGATCGGCAAGAGAAGGGAACAGTTTAACAATAAAGGTGTATAGATTAGGGAAATCTTTTTGCTTGGAAAGGTGGAGGACAAATGGAAAATGGAGGAAAGCACTGAAAATACAGTAAGGCAGGCTTTATCCTTGTTGTATCTTAAAATAACACCAAAATTCTCAATTTTTTTGGTACTGGGAATCGAACTCATGACTTTGCGCTTGCCAGGGAGGTGCTTGTGCCGCTGAGCTATATCCCTGGCCTAAAAAGTTTCTTGTTAACGACGTGACAAAAGCACTGATCTGGTTTTTGTTTTTTCATTTTTAAAATACTGATTTCCCGGAAATCAGTAAGAAAACATCAATATTCTAATAGAGAAATGGGAAAAGGTCATAACCAGATGATCATACAAATGGGCAACCAAAAAAAGATGTACAATCTTACTCATAATAAAGAAATATAATAAAACCACAATAAACTATAATTTTTCACCTACCAAACAGGACAAGAAAATTCAATCTGTGAAAACTAAGTATTAGAAAATGTTAATGTCTAATATGCACAATATGATTCTGATGAAAGCCCAAATTCATGCAACCTTATAGGAAGTCAACAGGTTAACATACTCAAAAGTGACCACACACTGACCTCTAACTCAGTGCCATTACAACGAATTACATGTATGAAGTGATTGTGTGCATATGCACGCAA